AAAAGAAAAGAAAAGAAAAGAAAAGAAAAGGAATAAATATCGAATTTTAAGTCAGGGGAAAAAAACCCAATGCAAGAATCTCTTAGGACAGGTGCAAAAATCATGTTTCCATTGACGCACATGAAATGCTTGAGTCTTTTGTTTGTGTTAATAAACAAAATTAGTTATTTTTCAGCTTTTGCATTTATCCACCTGTGACACTGAAGATAGGTTCACCTGTTGTCAAATACCCATTTTCAGAACACAAGAGCTGACAAAAATGTGAATGCGAACTATGAGACCGAATCTCTGCAGATATCAGAGTAATGTAGGATTAAGGCTTACCATCGACTTCATCTCTGCAGAGCAAGGTGCAGCTTGGAGAGAAAATAAAATGCCAGATGGAAGAGATATTTAATCTCATGCAAAGGAACACAGGTCTTCACGTCATTTCTGAATGATGATGGAGGGTAATTAGGTCTACTTGTTTATTTAATATTTATTTTTAATGGAGGTGCTGGGGATGGAGCCCAGGACCTTGTACATGCTAAGCACACACTCTACCACTGATCTATGTCCTCCCCACTTATTATTATTTTTAAAATAAAGATGGCATCTCAGAGGCTGACGCCAAAGAAGACAGGGGAACAGTGGATTAGGGAACCACTCCTGCTGAGCAGAATATTTAAGAGGCGTTCCTTGCCCTGAAGAGCAGGTGGATGAAGGATTCCAGCCGGACAGAGCAGTCCACTGCACCATGGCCATCAGGGCAGGGGGGCCACATTAACACTCATCACACGAATCGTGACAGTAACGAAACTGACAATGACAGAACACCGGCAGTGGCAGCTTTGAACAGGGGCTCACGTGTGCTGCGAGCCTGACTATCTCGCTTCTTCTCTTCAGATCACCCCTGTGAGAGGAGAGCTGTTGCTAATCTGCAAGGCGCAGGTCAGGAAACTACAATTCAGAGAGACTAACTAACTCACGCAATCAGCCCCAGCTACGTGAGCTGCAGGGCTCAAGGCAAAACGGAATGTTGGGGCCCTTAGTTTAAAATTATTTGGAATTTCAACATGGTGACAGCAGATAACTAGGCCAAGGGGGGCCCTTCCAAGGTGGCCCGGGCCCAGGCCCCACGTCCACAGAGTCGCATGGCATCCGGCCACGCTGGTCAGTGTAAGAGGCAGACCTTGGAGCCAAGGCTGGCCGACTCCAAGCTAATCTTGTCAAACTGACGTTTTACCAAAAACGTGAAGTGCTCCATGGTTTGTCAGTATGAAAGAGAGATTTCCTGGCACTCTCTGTCACTCTGGAAAAGTCTTCAAAACCTCAGCCTCTTCTGGATTCCATAAATAGGTTAGGTCCCCCCTCGGGGACTGGGGGTAGGAAACTGGGAAGGCTGCCTGATGGGACCTCTCCATTCGAAAATGAATTAAGAACTCTGTGACTTCCAGCTGCAGCCGTGAAATCCGGGCTTCCACGCCTGAAACGGGCATGTGAGAAAAATCAGGCTGCGTCCACGTTTGATGCTGATTTGAGCTGACACCAGCCGCCACCAGTGCTCGGTGCGAGCCTTCTGAGCATTTATTGCTGTTTCTCCTTTCCAGCCTCGAACAGACGGGACTCCCGTGAAAGCACCAGACAGCGGCATTAAAGCCCGCTTTCTCACACCCACCTCTACTCAGCCTTGTATTCAGGGACTATCAAGTTTTTCCTTCCTTTTTTTTTGTGATCAGCCTTCACTGAAGCACCGCTGTGCTCCTGTTACAGCTTTTAAATTAATTTCTCCACCGTCATCAGCTTTGAGATGAACACTGCTTCTCCAACACCTGGTCTGGCTTTAAAAATTATTTGCCATCTGGACAAATACTGAGTAATGATAACAACTTAATGGCAGGACACAACACAGTTTGTTAAGAGACTTGATGGTCTCCTCAGAGTTAGGCAGCATTAAATGAAGCTCTGCTGTTAACTTAGTGGACACGCCCCCTTTACCGACCGTAGGACGTGATGGTGCCTGGGAAGGGGAGGCAGAGCATCTCGGCCGCCTGGACCCGTCACCACGGGGGTGATGCAGGCTGCCTTTTGTCACCGGATGACAGGACCACGTCCCTGCAGCTCTGATTGAGACACGGTGAGCGTCGCCTGTCCTTCCGCAGCACGACCCCCAGTCACTGATAATACCCAGCAGGGCTCCCCACTCCTGGTGGGGATGTTCATCTTTTATTTTTATTTTTGAGGTTAATTTGTGCTTTTATTTGCTGGTGTAACTTAACTACAGTGGCCTGCAAGCTTTTTTGACCTAAAAATACATTTTACATCACAATCTAACAAACACACACATACATGACATGTATACATGTTGCATATGTATATATCTGAAATCAAAGTCTTGCCAAAAATGCCTGCCCTAACACAGAGACTTTTCTTGGGAGCAGTTTTAGGTTTACAACAAAATCGACAGGAAGGTGCAGAAATTTCCCACACACCCCATCTCCACACATATGCACGGTCATCATTTTTATTTACAGATTGCTACCTTTTTTTTTTTAACTAAGGGTGAACGTACATTGACACCTCATAATCACCAAAGTCCACAGGCCATTAGTTTGGACAAAGGCATCCATCATTTAATGTCATACAAAGTATCTTCTCTGCCCTAAAAACCTTCTGCACTCCAGAATGCACATGAGATGTTTTTCTTTTTCCCCTTGAAAAGAGGTTCAGAGCCTTTATGTCTGTAAAACCCCTCATGGCCCACCCATGCGTGGACCAGACAGGCTCCAGGCGGCAATTCCCCCATTAAATACTTCAGCTTTTCTTCCAATATTGAGCCCTGCCCGGCTGGTCCAGCCCAGCAGCCATGCGTAGGTGCGGGGGGCGGGGGGCACGTGGAAGGTATTTGCTCACAGGACAAAGGCACCAAGTCTGGTGCCCCTTGTCACAGTGAACCCAGATTCTTGTTGGGTGTCTTGTAAACAGAAGCCGTTTCTTCAGGCCCCCTGTTCTGAGCACACCCTGGAATAATCATCTTTTAACCACGTGTTCTAAGGGCAACTGCAGGCCGGGTGCCCTGCCTGCCATTTCCCCACTTGGATCACTTTAGAAACAGAGTACAAAGGAATTTCCTTGTTTCTACACATCTCTGAAATGCCAGGATGTCTTTGCAATCCAGGGACGACAGCTGCTCTCCCTCCCCTGAACGCCCAGAAGCAAAGATCATCTGCCTGCTAGTCTAATGGATTCCATGATGAGCCATTTTTTTTTTCTCTTGAACAGGTGCAGTGAACAAAACATAGAGGGAGAGACACACAATGAGACACTCACCTCTGCTAAAGGCACTTGGTGATTTCTTAGTCCGGGAAACCGGATGACTCGATCCTCAGGCCTCAGAGAACTCCTGCTGGAGGGGTGCCACTGCAGAGTCCTCTTACTGATGCTGCTGAGGTGGAACTTGCTGATGCTTCTCTGATTCCCTTCCCTGCTGTGCCTCTGAGGGGGTACCAGTGAGCTGTAAGATAGGAGTGTACACAGAAGGGGGGCCGTCTGAACAACGCCTACGATGGGTGACTGGTCACTTACCACCAGGAAACACAGGGTAGAGACGCAGCAGTGTGGGCCAGTTGTGTGTGTGGTGTGTGTGTTTGCATGCATGTGTGTGTGTGAGAGAGAGAGAGAGAATGGTAGGACTACTGTGTGTAGTAGTTGGCTGATTAGGTAATCTGAAATGTTCCTGCTGCCAAGAGCAACTCCCAAGGGCTGAAAGCACGGAGAAAAATACCGTTAAGAATGGTCGCTGGGTACTGAGCACGCTGCCCTGGGAGCCCTGCCAATGTCAATAACCAGGAAGTGTGTGCTCTGTGGCCATAAAGAGTAAGTCCTGTGCTCAGTCAGGGTGGGTGACTGGACTTGAGATCCTGCACTCGGTCCAGGCCTTGAGAGGGAAAACCCCCAAAGCAAGCCTCAAACACGAGCAAAGGGCTCATTGAGAACAGAAAGTGTGGAAGCTTGTTTTCATGATTTGGGTCTGGTGTGGAAAAAAAAATCTGTACTCTTTCTGAGAGTTTGTGATCACAGGTGTCCCATAGAGGTGGGTTTAAAGTTTGAATTCATGTTAACTTTTGATCCCAAATCTCCCAAGTGACAAATACCATAAAAGGCTGGACATCACTGAGGTACTACAAAGGCAAATACATCATTTATTTGGAGTCATCCCTTCTTAATCTGGATGGTGCATTGTTCTTGCATATACAACCCTACTGATAATGCATTCACAGTCCAAAATTACAGAGGTGCTAAGCAAGAATCAGCAAACAACAGATGCCAAGAGCTAGTGCCCCCAGAATTTTAAGTCCTAATGAAACAAAGGAGGACCTTATAGAGTCTTCCTGGGACAGACACCTCCCTCCCCAGATACCCCACCTGCCTTTCTTCTGTCAAAAAACTTTAACTAAAGAATACATTTAATCGTAGAAATGAAAAAAAGAAAGCAGAAACAAAGAAAAGCAGTCAAACAGGACAAAGCAATAATAGTTTAGTCATTAAACCAAGTCCAGGACCTTTAGTCCCTCCTCAAGGGCTGTAGATAAGGCTCGGAGCCATGTCCTTTGAGCTGTCTTGTAGCTACTGGAACCCCCACCAGGTGGAAGAAGTTAACTACATGATGACTAGACTGGAGCCAGGAAAAGAGCTGCCACAGTTCTGAGAACTGGCCTCAAGAACTGGGAACAAACTGACCCTGGAACTGAAGATTAACTGTACTCAAAACAATCAAGATGACACTGACCAGACCACCACATGGCCAATTTCAAGGTGACTGTCAGAGCTGACTGCGCTGTTCTGCATGCAGCCCCCTCCCTCTGCCTATGCACTCCTGAGGTTCATGTTTAAAAACTCCTTTCCCCTGATTGGCAGGGAACTGGCCTTTGGACATGAGTCCCCCCTCCCTCCAGGCAGCCTGCTTCTGGAATGAAGCAAACTTGTCTTTTTACCAAACACTGGCCTCTTGAGTTGGCTTTTGAGTAGCGAGCAACTGGACCTGAGTTTCAGTAACAACAAAAGTAATATAGACAGAAACTACAAAGTACATATGTTTTGAAAAAGTAAATCCAACACAAATAACAACACAAGAAATGAACAAGGTACTGTAAGTCAAGATCAGGCATAACTGAGAAGAAAAGAGCTATTTTGAAATTCTTCCGCTGTACCTTTGTGTCTTTAACTGCATCAGTTAATCTTTTTTCTGGTCTAAGTGGACTGATCTGTAAGACATTGTCTTGATTTTCCTGTCTAGGCAGAGTCTAGGCTCCCTCCCTTATTACTCGGAGAGACCAGTGACGCTCTTGGCACCCACCTCCCTCTTAGGGAGAACTGACCAGGGAGGTGGCCATGAGGTCTGGTGCCAGTGGGGAACATGGAACAGGCTACAATCACCCTTTATCAGGGTCAGCCTGTAGATGGACGGGCCACTGGGCATCCTGGTTTGCACCCTGGCCACAAAAGGACCCACATCAGCTTGCTGCTTTATTATTTCATATGTGGATATTTCCACTTCTGGAATGTGGATTTCATTTGTAGAGATTAGCACTCTTTGTTAAATACAGGATTAAAAATGAGCCCTATTATGGGATGGGAATCTGTCTCGCATAAGGCGTGATTTCAGGGCAGGTTGGAGTCAGAGTCGGGCCAGTCTTGACGGCGGGCAGAGCTCATGGGCAGACACCAAGCAGACCGTGCCTGTGACTGCAGGTGTTTACCTCCAGGCATTTACCTGAAGGAAGTTACTGGAAATCAAAGCAACTCTAAGTGACTTCCATATGGGGGGAAATCAGCCTGCAGTAATCCCGCAGACACACAGTTCTGTCAGGAAGTTTTACTAAACCTATCATCCTGGGAAAGAAACAAGAAAATTATGTCCTTTCAGTGCTCATCTGTAATTAAAGCATTTAGTCCTGTGCTTGGGGGACCAGCCACTGTTAGCTGATTTGAAAAGAAAGGCTGAGAAACCACGTCTCAGGTAGGAAGTTCATGTTAGGTGACAGGATACCTTTTTCTTGCCTGAGAAAATGACACTTCTCAGAAATGTGTAAAGACATGAATTGTCACAGGGCGTTACTTCTCCAGTAATTGCTGTCTTTGTAAGAGGTCAGCCTGAACACCTTTAACAGACTCAGCCGTGATGGGAGGAGACAAAGTGTCGAGGATGCAAAGGAAGTCAGCACGGTGTTTTACGGAGGGTGTCTGTTTTGGGCTTTTCAACAGTGACTTGCTGATTTGCATCAGCTGAGCTCAAAATAGAAGCGTGTGATGAGAGGACATAGCAGATGGGGAAAAATTAATCTCTTCCTTTGTATGGATGTCAGGGAATATTGTTTGGGGGAGTGTTGCTACTTTTTTTAAGATGCTACATGACTTAAAAAAAAAATCCCAGTTACATGTCCCTTAGCTTTGAATTTTATGTAGCCATCAACGTGTCCTGCAATCAGTCAGACAAGAAGCTAAGTTCCAAAAATATAATTCTCAGCCATAAAAAAAAGTAAAATAATGTCATTTGCAGCAACATGGATGGACCCGGAGATCATTATTCTAAGTGAAGTAAGCCAGAAAGAGAAAGAAAAATACCATATGATATCACTTATATATGGAATCTTAAAAAAAATGACACAAATGAACTTATTTACAGAACACAAACAGACTCATAGGCCTCGAAAACTTACGGTTACTGGGGGGAACCAGGCAGGGATGGAGGGATAAACTAGGAGTTTGGGATTAGCAGATACTAACTACTATATATAAAATAGATAAACAAGTTTTCACTGTATAGCACAAGGAACTATATTCAATACGTTGTAATAACCTATAATGAAAAAGAATAGGAAAAGGAATACGCATATACGTATAACTGAATCACTGTGCTGTACACCGGAAACTAACACAACGTTGTAAACTGATAAAAAATAAAGCTATAATTTAGAAACACACAGAAACACCCATAATCCTTGCAATAAAGACATTGGTATTATGCTGCCTTTGGATTCCAGCTGAAGCATCAGCTCTTCCCGAGTCTTCAGTCTGCTGCCCTTCAGGCTGGAACGAG